TTATTTATACTTACTAATTTACCAAAATCTAACATCCAGAGCCTATCTTGATTTCTATTCATTTGAAATAGAAAGTAAGATAGCTATTAAGGTTTATTTTATTGAAGAACCAAAGCCATTACCTCTATATTGAGATTCATTTTTATTTTGCATGGTAGTAGTTCTGCACTCTAGAGCCCTTATTAGATTGAAAGGCAAATATATACATATGTTCTATTGTGCCGGGGGCACAAATTCTGTCTTGATTTACTCATGTGCAACTACTATTAACACTGTGAGGAATTCAGGGCAAAGTTTAGTTTATTTTTCAAAAAAGGATCATGTTGTTACACATTCCAAATAACACATGAACTCTCTTTTAGACTATAAAATCAATGATGTGCAGCCACACACATTTAGGATACTCATTTAGCTTTTTCATTGACTATATGTTTGGCTAGTCTGACTCATTCCTTATGGCGTATATTTTTAAAAGCAAGATTTGATAAATAGAGCAATGAGATGAAATTCTGAAACTGTTAAAGAATGAAGGCAGAAATTATAGAAAAACATCTAAATTTTAACACTAAAATACGGTGAGCATGGTGAAACGAGAAAATGTTACATACACGATATGACTTGAAATATACAAAAATTATCCGTGTGGTTGAGATAATCTCATTTGAGTGTTGTCCTTTAGTCAGGTAGAATAAATGCTGCCTGTCTTTCTCTGAATTTGGAGAAGTTGAGAGAGTGGGATCCAAGCGTAGAGCATGGAGAACTGGGAGCCAGGAAGAAAAGGTACAACAAAAGGTCTTTCTCCAGTTTATCATTCCCTGAAGTCAAACCTTGTATTCCTTTGTGAGTGAATGTTGGAAGTAGTGACCTTAGACAATCCACACTCTTCACTGTCCTTGATGACTTAATATGAATGGATACATAGATAGATACAATGCTTCAAAAGTGCTTCAAAGTTAATTGATTCAAAAATAAATAGATGTCTCTAATGATGCATAAAAGTTTCTGTATTTGGATTAAAATTATCTATCCATCAAGTACAAGATGGAGAAGACTGAGTAGAAATGTATAGTTTAAAAATATGCTAAAAGTTTTACTTGACTAAAAGTTTGAAGCAATTCAAATAATATGATAAATGTCAAAAATGTTAATGAAAACAAAGAGAGTGCTATCAGAAATAATGTACAGAACAGGGAGGTAATAGATGGCATAATTCTATGATATAATCTAAACAATTATGTTCTACTTGAATGACACATAATGAAGGGAAATAATTAGGAGGGCAACTTGGATGGTAAAAATTTGAACATTTAATGGGTGAACAACAGAAGTCTAATCTGTAGAATATGTATGTATGTATGTGAATGTGTACACACATATGTGTGTTTCAGACATAAATATTGACAATATGTTGATCTCTTTTTGAGAAACAGAATAACATGATCTGATTCACACTTAACAGCACCACTCTCCTCTTAAGAGTAGAGTGAGGTAAGGATGGCAGCAGGGAAATAAGATAGGTGATAATGATCCAGATAAGAGATGAAGGTTACCTAAATTCAGATGATTCAAAATGATAGAATGCTATATCTTTTTGGCTTTTTTATATTTTTAGAGGTAAAGCCAATAAATTTGGCATTATTTATAGGATGTGAAATGCCATATACCAAGATATTTGACCTGAGTTATATATAACTTATAATAAAATTCCAGATTTTAAAGAAACCTTAGAACTTTTCTAATCAAGCCATTAACTCTGTAAAGGAATCCTGCCTACAACCTACCTGTCCCTGCTTGAAAACTTCCTTGACCAGGAGCTCACTATTTCACATACCATTCCATTTTAGAATAGCTCTGCTTTTAAGAGCTCTCTTTTTGTTTGTTTGTTTCTTTTTTTTAATATTATATTATTATTATTATTATTACTGGTTGACATATATTAGTTTCAGGTGTACAACAAAATAATTCAACATTTGTATACATTGCAAAATGATCACCACAATGGGTAGTTATCATGTCATCATACAATATTATTGATTCTAGTCCCCATGCTATACATTACATCCCTATGACATTTTATAACTAAAGCTGTTTTTCTTACACTGAGCCAAAGCTTGCTGCTCTGTGATGGACAAATGTGATATTGTGATTTACAACAAGAAATACATATTTTGTTTTTGTCCCCATTTCTGGTAGAGCTTGGAATTTCTTAAGTAATAAAAGCTATAAAAGTGCCTTTATCTGTATAACGAAGTCTCCATGAAAACCCAAAAAGGACAGTGTTCAGGGAGATTCCAGGTCGGTGAACCAGAATACATCTATGAGCCTCTGTGCCTGGGCCCCAAATTCCAAGGAGAACAGAAGCTTCTGCATTCAGCACCTTGCCCTCTGTATCTCTTTTTCTGGCTATTGATTCTATCCTTTAATGTCTTTTGTAATAAACCAATAACCTAGTGAGTAAACGCAGTTCTTAAATTCCGTGAGCTAACCTAACAAATTAATGGAACCCAAGGAGGGGGTCATGGGAACCCCTGACTTAAAGCTATTTAGTCAGAAGCACAGATAAAAATCTGGACTTTGGATTGGTATTTGAAGTGCAAGCAGTCTTTTGGGACTTAATCTTTAACCTGTGTAATCTCATGCTATCTTCAGGTATAGTGTCAGAATTAAGTTGAATTTTAGAACACCCCATGGTGTCTGAGAACGTCTTGGTGTGAGGAAAAAAATAAACACATTTGAATTGGTGTTAGAATTGTAAGAAGTGAAAGAGAAAAGATAAAAAGAGAAAAAGATAGGAAGTTGAATAAGAGAAAAAGAAGAGAGAAACTGTATTTGTTTCTTCACTGGTATGTCTTCAGCACACAGCATGGTATGTGTCATTTGTTATGTAATAAATATTTTTCACTGTCTAAGCAATTTGGAAGAAGAGTATTGGGTCATAATGATGAGACCATAGGATATTAGTTAATTATTTCTTAATGAGAATTTGGAAGAGTAAAATTAAAATATTTTCTCAATTCACTATGTCTCATTGATTCAGTGAGATTGTATGGTATGATTTCACTTAAACAAATAAAAAGTAGCATTGTATTTGTAGTTTACGGCTTCTTGGTGTCCTAAATCTCAGCTATATTTAATTGTACATGCCCTTCAAATAAGGAGTGATATACATACAAAATACGTACTGGTATATTTTGGCCACCATCTAATCAGACTAGATGCCAGCCAGCCTGATGCACGTCAGTTAAATGTCAGCCTGTTTTAAACTATGGAATAATCAAGCTATTATAGTGCTGAGTTTAAATACTACATACTTCTATTTTGTCTTTATTGTAATGAACAAGCCCTGTCTTTAGCTCCTGCTGTGCACTTTTGGAAGATCTTCCATATGGTTGCTGCTAAGTATTTTGGCATTTTCCCAACTGTTACAATTGGGTCAGTAGGGGGGGATCGTGTAGGAGTAATAAAACAAGGGTGACTGCAGCAGGGAGGAGTATGATTACTACACACATAACAGCTTATTGCCTCTCATGCATTCAAGCACAGCTCAATGCCATTCATTACAACAGGCAGTCAGGACAAACTGCCTTTTTTGCCACAGAGTCTACTCCATGAAAGACCAGGCCTTGGGTGCAGAGACTAAGTCTCCTCAGTTAAATTGTTCCTGTTTCCTTACTTATTCATCTTCCTATAATACCTAGAACAACTTGAGGAGAAAGACAATTTCCCTTGCATATTACCATGTCCTTCTGAGAAAGTTTTCATGAGCAAACTCGTAGCTAAATTTTAGCACCAACAGCAGGACTGTCAGTGGCCTTAATGGCTTTCATATTTTATGAGGGGGAGAAAATGGGGAAAGGAAATCTGAATACCACAAATACTTAAAAATCCTTGAGATATGATTCATAAAGCCAGAGGTGACTGATAACATTGACACTATTATTAGAGTGTCCTCCCTATCAGAAATCACATCAACAGAAAGAGTATAGCCATGAATTTATCCTGTGGAAAAGAGTGTCGCTTAAAGCACTAATAGATTGGGAAGAAAAAGTTCAAAGCAAAATTAAGATTCTAAATAGTGAAATAATATATTAAACTGAGATTAGCGCGCACGCACACACACACACATGTAAAACAATGAACTTAAAGTCTTGATCCAAAGATTGTGTTCTCCGTATTCCTGCTTATACACACAAGAATTCTTTAAATAATTTGTTATGCTTTTCCTTCAACATGATATGGCGCCTTTTTCCCCCACAGTAAACAATATACGGTTACGTAGTATTCTAGTAGGTTCACAGTATAGCCATGAATTTTTCTTGAGCAATTATAAGAAGTCGAGATTTATAAGGAAAGAGTTGGAGACATTTAAAGCGGTATAAAAATGTTTGTTTGTTTTTTTTCTCCCATGTTTCCAGCCACGAATATTCAAGTGTTGCATTAATTTGCTCTCTTTTTCCTTCCTCCCCGATCATCGAAACCGGCTCTACAGGAACTGACACCGGGTGTTCAGAGCCCTGGGCCGGGGATGGCAAGTGAACGCTTGGGTCCCCCAGGAGGCTGCGCCAGTGAGCGCCGGGGAGATCGTAGAGCGAGTCAGGGCGGAAAAGAATGTGAACTCGGGTGAAACACCACGGGGACGGGCCTTAGCATTTCTACCAGCCCTTTCATTTATGAAAGTATTGATAGATAGCAATGGGATGATCGTAAATCAACTGGTACCGTGGCCACCCACACTCGTCCTAGGACTATGAAACGCCCCTACTTCCAGCTTCTCACAGGGCGAAAAGGAAAGAGCTAATCGAGGGTCAACTCTGTCAGCACTTAGCATGGAACCCGCATACAGAAGCCCCCAACACCACCCGCAGTCTCCCACGACCAGCGGTGAGCTCAAGTCCCCGCAGTAAAGCCGCGCTCTGACCCTAACAGCTCGAAGACACGGCAGCAGCCGAGGTGAGGGCAGCGGCGGCGGCTTCAGGCACCGCAGTGCGCAGGCGCAGGCTCACAACGCGCAGGCGCGGCCCAGAAGTGACTTCTCCAAAAAGTGCCTTAGTTCGCAGTCACCTGAGCTCCGGGAGACTCGGCTGCGGTAGGCTTCGCGGATACCGCCCTCTGCGGGTCTTGCGTGGAGACCCCGCCTTCTTCTCTCGCCCATAGGCTTCGCCACTCCGAACTCTCCAAGGGCCTGCTTTTCCTTCCTGTTCTTTACCAGTCTCCGGCCGGACCGGGCCGAGCCGGGCCGCGCGGGCGTGGTCCCTGACCATGGCGTCCCTCTTCAAGAAGAAAACCGTGGACGGTGAGTTCCAGGTCGGGCCGAAGGGGCCCAGCCCTATGTATCCATGGCCTGTTTTGGGGGCTTCCAGCCGCGATTCTTTCTCCTGTCCCTGGGGGCGGGGCTGGATCAACTGGCCCCACAGGTGACCGCCCTCATGCGTCACTTCTCTGCTTCCCCATCTCTTCTGACTGGCCCAACTCAACCTCACCTGGACAGTCTGGCTTCTTCCCTCTGATAACACAACACCAACTCCACCCCCCGCCCGCTTTCTCTTTTCTTTTTTCTTTAGGGAGATCCTGAGCATTTCGAGGAGGCGCAGGATGCTGCTGGCCCTTGAGTGTCATTAGCCTTGGTAGTTTAATGAATTTCTTGTTAGTTTCATCTGCTTGGTTTGTTGCTTCTTCAGTTTGGATCTGTACTACTTCTTGCCATGCAATCCGGAAACCTGTGCCTACAGAGGTTGAGGTGGGGAGGGTAAACAGAATCCAGTTATCAAAATGAACTTGAGTCTGGGTCGGTCTTGTTCCTAAGAACACTCCATCAGTAGAGATGTGAAATAATTCTTGACTGATTTCAGTATCAAAATAAAACCCAAGGGAAGTGCCTGGATTTAGTTTCATAATGAATTTTTTCTCTCTTGTGATTATCTTTTGCTACCTAAAGTAAGAGATGTGGGATTTATCTGCATAGGCGTTTACATTTTAAGGTACTTGCATTGGTTCAGACGTTTAGCTCAATGTCATCTAAAGAGGAAAAGTGAATGCGCACAAATTGGTGTTTATAAGCAACGCCTATAATGTATGTTTACATAACACTGATTAGTCTTGATAGTCTTGATGTTTACATTGACTGCCACCAGGAACCAAATTCATTCAAGTTATTTAAAAATAGTGTTTCCCATTACATGCTGAGTTTAGGTTGCTGCTGGTTCAACCAAAGAATCGCGTCTTTTTAAGGGTCTAATTCTGCCACAGAAGGAGCAGTGGTAGCTAGACAGTGATTGGTACAAACAGAATGCTCAATCTAAACCTGGGGTAACTCCTTTATTCCTTTGTATTGACTATTTCAATGCCAGCAAAATTATTTTGGGGAGGATAACAAAGACATCATTTTTACTCTGCCACTCTACCCTTCAGCACACAATGTCATTTTAGTGCAATAATACATTTTGCTTACCTTTAATAGTTGAAAATGTTTTTTAAATTTGTTTACTTTTTATTAATTGAGACTTATTAACCATTTGTAGTATCAGAATAACTACCAAGGTGCTATAGGATGTAATGCAATTATGTGAAATGGGTTTTTATGTGTTTTATTCCTGAGAAGGCTGTTTAATATTTAATGTGGAACTTTATTTTTTTCAGTGTTTCAGTACCAATATTGATTTTCAGTTATTGTATAGTACTCGGGGGGGCAGGGGGAGAGGTTTATTTCTTTGTTTCAGTTTTATATAGTTAGATTTTACTAAACAGAGGGAAGGGGGTTGCATCTTTCTTACTGTGATATTACAAATTATATTAAATTTTTTAACATTAAATGCCAGACGTCCTTGCTTTAATTGCTTAATATCTGTCAAATAGTTTTAAAGACATAAATAACAGTTCTATATTCTCATTGCTATGCTTCCTGGTGCTTTTGGTAATTTAGTGACTATTGTGCTTGAAGTATAGAACTGAATTAAGAAAAAGACAATGAGGATGTGCAGTGAGGATGTTTAACGGTATATTCATTTGGAATTGGGTTAATTCATCCAAGAAATAATGTTTTTGCTAAATAGACATATTTGTGGGAAAAAAGTCTTAAAGACTGTTGATAGTTCTTATGCTATTGATTTAAAGATCTGTATTGAAATTTCTGAATATAAATTTGGCTACCATGTACATTTATTATAACTATCAAACTGTATACTTGATGTTTTATTAAATTATCATGTCAATTCAAATCACTTAATGACATCTTAATTCTATTACTGTATTTTTATTATTTTGATATAGAGCTTTATTGATGTTTTTACTCCTTGTTTTATTAAAAAGATCTTTTGCCTGTATAAAAGATGACAGCATTCTTCTTAACAGTAATGAGGCTATATATTATGAAACTTAATGTATTTTTATGTAGTTCTGCCATATCTTTGGACTCAGTGGTTATTGATCATAAGATCTTTTACAGTATGTATCTTTTTGTCTGTTTCAACAGTAATGAAATTCTGATATATAAGGGAAACATGTAACTTTATAGATCTAGAGAATAATTGAATCTTTTTGTCTCTTTGGATTGGCTGGAAGAGTTGCACACTATATCATTAAAGACTACTGCACATGCAAATTAAAAAGGGAGACAACATTACAGCACATTACTATTCAGAGTTATGTTTAATTCATTTTTGACACAGAGATGAACAAGTCTCTGCACTGTATACTTTGTTACAGAAATTAATTAGTATTATACCTCAATGCCATAGAAGAGAAAGATTCTTTTGAATTTGAAATTACAATTGAGTCCTTGGTTTTCCTTCTACTGATATTTAATACGTGTATATATGTATGTATGCGTGTGTGTATATATATGTATATGTTAGGGTAAAGTGTTTACAGTGTTTTCCTCAGTGGACGAATGGTGACCTACCTCTTTATTATAGCTAATCGTGAACCTGTAAATCAGGATGCCATGAGGACTTGTCATAAGTGTACAACTAATTATGCCTCTTAAAAGATGAAGTTCTTTATGCACTATATAGTTTTTGTCTGTTATCCTAAATAAAGACAAATTTGAGGTCCTGCTTTAAGCCAACACTGAGTTAGCATTTTGTATGCAGTATCTTATTAGAATTCTCACAAAACCTATAGGTACTGTTATTATCCCCTTTATAGATGAGGAAATTGAGAGTCTAAGGACTAAGTTACTGGCCCAGGATCATACAACTACTAAATGGCAGAGCCAAGACCTCATCCTTTTTGACTATTACCGTTATTTTTTTCTTAGTAAATATCCTATAGCTCATTAAATTTTGCTGTTCTTGCTAAGTACTTGGAATTCTCAACTTTTGGTAGGTATCATGTAATGTACCTAGCTCTCAACTTCAACCTAGTTACCTTTTTTCTGTGAACTGGACTCTTTTCTTTCTTTTCTTTCCGAATTAGTGGTAGCTCTTTAATATCTAACGATGGTAGAACTAGAAACAACCCTCCTTTTCCTGACTCTCCCTTGACCAGAATTTCTTAGGAAGTATTGTCCAGTCTCTTTTTGCTCTTTATCTACACCTTATGCAGTAGCGATGTCTCCTATCTCTACCTCTTTATTTCTAATGCCTCCCATTCTACACCAGTTTGCTTTACATCTCATGTAATGAGATTTTGCTAAGAATATCTGTGACTTTAAGATTGCCATTTTTTTGGTGATCATCTCTTGAACTTGTGTTTTACATTTGTTCTCAATAATAATTTCTTCCTTAAAATTCTCTTGGCTTCCATGACATTAACACTCTCTTAATTTTCTTCATCTTCCTCTGACCACTCTTTATCTTTCTCCTTTCAGGTTTTTTTTTTCTTTTCTTATTTCCTTTCTTCCTTTTTTGCATCCTTTCTTCCTTTTTGTCTTCCTTCTTTCCTTTCTTCCTCCCTCCTATCTTCTTTACTTTCTTTTATTTTTAACCTACCCCTTAAATATTAGTGTTCTTGGTTCCAGCATGGGCTACAACTATGCTAACTGTACACTCTCTATCTGCATGATCTTATCCAAACTCTTATTATTTTAATTATAACCTAAATATTGATGGCTTCCAAGTTTATATCTCTAGACATATTTTTCTTAGTTCTAGACCAATCCATCCAATAGTTTGCCGACTATCTCTACCTACATGCTCCAAAGCACGTTAAAGAGATCCCAAACAGAAGTCATCACCATCTTGTTTAAGTCAGTTCCTTTACCGGATTCTCATCCTCTAAGAGTTCTTGATTTTGCTCTCCACCTTTAAATAATTACCAAGTCCTGCGCCTTTTGCATCTTAAATATTTGAACATATGATCTTCCTGTATGCCTTCAAATTCTCGTTCTAATTCAGATACCGTTTGTCTTGTACTTTACTAAATCACTTTTCTGCTTCTCTTTACTATAGCTTCTTAGTCCTCAAATCATTCATCTACAGTTGCTTGTGTGATTGATATAACTGAAACCCAAATCTTTCTATTCCTCAGTGTAAAACCCTTTACTGAATTGCAACAGGATCAAGTGGGTGCTCTTTAATAAGGCATATATGGCCCTCCTTGGTCTGGTCCTTGTTTTCCTTTTTGGCCATGTCTCTGGATATTTCACTATGCAACAACTGTTCTCATATTCATCTATGTATACCATACTTTTTTGCATTCTGAGATATTTTTGCTTATGATGCCCTTACACACAAAAAAATAAAAAATCTCTTTTTCTCTTCCTCTAGCTAACCTGAACTATCTCAGGTTGTTTCTTTCTCTAAGAATTCTTCTCTGATGCCACCTTAAATTATGTTAAATCCCTCACTCTTTGTGGGTTTTTGTTTTGTTTTGTTTTTAAGCATCTTCTTCCTGACTTGCATTCAGCAGAACCAAGGTAGATCCTTGTGTTTTTCCAAAGTTGGATAATGCTTATTCTGAGTGTTTCTTGCATTCCATATTTGCAAGAGTCTTCAGCATAAATGAAAATATCCCTGCAGCAGTTTACAGTTTAGAGACTAAATTCCAAAACAATGGTATTTACTAACCCAAAGTAGTGTTTCCAGTAACCAGATCTTAATACAATTGACATCCATATAATCACTACCAACTTTGAACTTTAGTGCAGATTTAGAAATAATTTCAGGAACACCGCTAAGAAACAGGAACAGAACTTATTGGTTTTTCTCTCATTGGGATGGTGTCCATGTATGTAAGTTGTCCAGAATTCAGAACCCGTGGAGTTTTGACTAAGTTGGGATAAATCTCTGGTCAAGAGGTCAGTTGTGATGTGACATTTTCATTAGCTCAAGAGGGAATAAAATCTACCATGTAGAT